TTTTTTGAAATCTGAAGGTGAAATAGTTTTGAGCGTTGCTTCTAGTGGCATTGCATCGCCATTACTTCCTAATGGCCAAACAACTCATTCTAGATTTTCTATTGCCATTGATATTAATGAAGATTCAACTTGTAGCATTAAATAGAATTCACCCTTGGCTATGTTGATTTGTAAGGCTAAACTTATAATTTGGGATGAAGCACCTATGATTCATCGATTTTGTATGAAAGTTGTTGATAGATCTTTCAGAGATTTAATAAGGATTGATTCTGATAGGAATCAATTTTTTCCATTTAGAGGGAAGTATGTCGTTATAGGTGATGACTTCAGACAAATCCTACCAATTATCACTAGAGGTAATAGGGTTGGCGTGGTAAATGCAACCATTAATCGTTCATATTTATGGCAATATTGCAAGGTGTTTACTCTTACCAAAAATCTAAGGTTGCAGACTATTGGACACCAAGAGCAAGAAGATTTAGAAGAATTTTCCAAATGGTTACTTGATATAGGTGAAGGTAAAATCAAACAAACACATGATGGTTATGTTGATATTAAGATACTAGATGATTTTTTGATCCTAAGTTATACTGATCTGATCAAGGCAATGGTTGATGCTATTTTTGGTGACATTAAGGAAAGGTGGAGAGATTCCCTTTTTTTTTTACATCTAAAGCTATGCTCTCTCCTACTATTGATGTTGTCAATCAAATAAAGCACTATACCTGTTCTATTTTCCCTGGGGAACAAGTAGAGTTTTTTAGTTCTAATTCAATTGCATTATCATCTTACGAGAATAATTCATTTGATGATATTTATACACTTGAATTCCTCAACATCGTCAAATGTTTTAGGTTGCCTCCACATAGATTGTCGCTAAAGAAAGGAATGCCTGTAATGCTTATTTGAAATGTTGATCAATCAATGGGGTTGTGCAATAGAACTCAATTAACAATTTAGAGGATTGGTAGCAAGGTGATTGAGACACTAATTTTAAATAGATATCATATTAATCAGAAGGCACTGATTCATAGAATGAACATGACTTCTTTTGACTCAAGGTTGCCTTTTTTAAGTTGAATAGAAGACAATTTCCCTTGTTCATATCTTTTGCAATGACTACGAATAAAAGCCAAGGATAGTCTTTTGAGCATGTGGGGGTTTTTTTGCCCAAACCAATTTTCACTCATGGCCAATTGTATGTTGCTTTATCAAGGGTGAAATTTAGGCATGGCCTAAAGATATTGATACATAATGATGATCATAGATCATCTAACATGTCTCAAAATGTTGTCTTCCAAGAAGTTTTTGGCAACATCCCTGTGATGTAGTTGATATGCATCATGGTGAGTAGAAACTTACATTGCGGTGTAAGAGGTATGATTAAGTTAATCAATTCATATTGTTTACTTTTTACTTGTAATTTTTTATCTAGATTGTAGTGTTTTAGACTTTATTTGTTGCCTTATAATCACTAAATGTGCTAATGTGAACTAATTTTTTATCTAGATTCTAATGTTTTAGAATTGTCATAAATTATATCTAAGTGCCTATTTTTATCAGGTATATGAATATTTTCGTTTTTTTATGTCCATAATATTATTTCATGTTCAAATATAATTTTTGAACCACTTCAACTTTCAATGGTATTAATATTCACCAATAGTGTTTTGTTCTTAATTGCCATTTCTTTGGTTCATCTTGTGGGCTACATTGCTTCACTTCCTCTTTCTATCCCCATCTCTTGCTCATTTTAATATCCCCGTAGAATTTTTACATAGACTTCTGTTAGATTACGAATTTGTTAGAGCCTTAATTTCTAAATCACCATCCTTTACATTTTATTTCTTTCTTTCTAATGTTTTCTCTCATTTATATATTACAAATACCTTTATCTTCAGTTGAAAACTTTCCATAACTACACAATGTTCATATCTATGGATCCTCATTAGTAGCCTAAAAAATCATTCCCCATTATTTGTAATATTATTAACTTATAACTTTTTTTATGTTTTTTGGCCAATTTTGTATAGTACTTTTCCATATTAGTTTCAATCAGATGCCAAGGATGATAGAAGGAATTGCGAGCTGTGCCCTTTTTTTTTGTTCCCATTACCGTTGCCTTTGGTTTGCATCGAATTAATGATATTAAATTTCTCATGGTATTTTCTCTCACTAAAGAAGATGTCTCTGCCTTGTATCAGTTAATACAATTGAAATATTTATTCTGAATTTTTTCACCAGTATCATTAGTAGTACTTTGATAGACAACATATTAACACCATAGTGTGCGCGTATTAATTCTTTATGCAGTTAAAATCTACCACCTCATATTACCTCTCAATCTAAAAGGTTTGTAGATGTATTGAGTATCGGAATAATAATTTATAGTGCTCCCTTCATTGTACATTATAAGACACCTTAAAAAAATCAACGTCAATAAATATAAGATGATGTGATAAAACAAATTTCATTAATTAAACTTTCTCCCAATTAGCTACACCCATTTATTCTATCTCTTCAAAATTTTATTAACATTGGAGTAATAAATAAATGATATTTTTAAATGTTTATTTTTTTATTGAAAGAGTGTTAGGTTGTGAAATATAATTAATAACCTATATTTATATGTGATTTTTTATCTAGACATGTATTAGGTTTTGATGCACATAGAGTACTAGATTAAATCAAATTCATATTTTATTATGTGAAATTTTACATTAACTAAATTATCTAAAAATTAATGATACATCAATTCTTCATAGAACATATGATATCTACTCTTGGGAAATGACCATGTTCCTTGGATATATTCTTGATGAAATTAGAGATTGAAGCAGTGCAATGTATTTAATTTGTTGATACTTTGAATTTTTTTATATTTTTTATTTAATGGCTATTAAAGCACTGACTAATGGTTTTATTGCATAGCAACTGAATAAAGTCATAATATTTTACATTATTGAGAAAATATTGTCTTATAATTTTTAGTGTTTCCAACGTCCTTTGTGGTATTTTATAAAGTTTAGTCTCATAATTTTTGTGTTTCCCAACTGGATAAACTTAATTTTATAAAGCTTTGTGGTGATTTATATAATTAAAATTATTTTTGAATAAATTATCTAAACATTTTTAATTCTATTAAAATAAATTTTTTTAAAAATAGTATCCAAATATATTACATTATAATATAATCAATTATAATTAAAATCTATCACTTAATTAATTATTTTTATAATATATTATACCCAACTGAAGTCCAAACAAGCAACTAGTAGACATTTTTAAAGTATTGGGCAATTTAATACCTTGTACAAATGACAACGTACAGAAACTAAGCGTTTTTTTTTGGAAGCCCACTCTCCTGGCTTTTGCATCAGCGTTCACGTTGCAAACCATTGGATTCATTAAATTATGTTTTTAAATTTGCATGCTTTCTCTCTCCTCTTAGCTTTCAACCTGCCAGGCACGAGGTATCTAGTTTTTTTTTATGTTGCTTTCTTCCTCCTGTGACCTCCTATGTAGCACCTCCATATCTGCTTCGCTTCACCTCCTAAGCTCCAGACATCCAGCACCAGGTTGCATTCAGATCTGATTCTCTTCTACCTGAGTTGAAGCTCCAACATCTCCATGTTGAAGCACCAAGATCTGAGATGAAAGTGTAGTTTCTTGAGTAGTGGTTTCTCCACGTTACAGTCACGTCTCGATCTCCACCATCTCTACCAAATCTAAGGTTTCTGTCGCCGGATCTACTCCCCGTCGACTATCCTTAGCAAGTAAGGTTCTTTCTTTCATCTCATTCATTGCCGAAGGTTGCTGCTATGCTGAGTTTTTTTTCTTCCTCTTTATCGTCTAATTTTGCTCTGCCTACGTCGCCTCATTCCTTGCTGTGCCATCCTTACTCTAGTTCTTTTTTCTTTTTTTAATGAATCGTGAGCAGCTTTCGTTTATTGCTTTGGTTTATAAAGTCTAAACTATTTGCTCTACTTTCATTTTTTCCAGTCACCTTTCATTTTTTGTCTTATGCTCTGCTTCTTATCTGTGTTGATTCCGGTATGGGTTGCATGAGAGACCAGTTGGGTCAGGTCCTATACTTGAGGATGAGAGTAAAAAAGAGAGAGAGGAGCTTTGGGTGAGGGCCTTTGGAAAAATGCAAAGGAATATCAATGAGTACTCCTGTTCACTGTGACACGATGCAGCACCGGAACCTTTTTTAGAGATTTAGATCCCACTGGTTTCATGTCATAAACTGTGAGCACTCCTGCTCAATTAGGAAAAAGTACCTAAAACATTAATGACATAAACCTTATTAAGCAAAAGTGCTTTCATGTCTTTCATAAATATTGAGATTTGATTCCATATATTGCTAGCTGATTTTGAGCTGAAATAAGATAACAACTGATTGATTAAAATGCTTATATACATAAAAAACAATGTCAGACAGTGAAAGATACAAACACATTAATTAGAAAGAGGAATTAGATTAATCTGCTCAATAGGAAGGAAACAGTCTCGATTAATTAAAGATAAGTGTTACCACTTGGATGGTTCATGTGAGCTTTTATCTTCAACCCTTGACTTCAAGGACAAATTAGGTTTTCTAGTTGAAGACTCTGTATCTTCACATCAAATAAGTGGATTTTGTTAAGACTAAAAAGAAATTTGCATCATAACAGGCAATAAAAAAGAACCTAATTTCTCCAGCTTCTTGAGAGAAGATTTACTAAGGATCTCTCGATAAAATTTCTTAACAGAAACTTCAACAATACAAATTTACAGTACATACGCCTAACCATTGCTAATAGTGAGTGATGGAGATTATTCTGTTCTCTCAATCTGGACAATGCAATAGGTACTTGAACAAAAAAGGGAGATATTGTCATTAGATTGTTCTGCTTTTGTTATAATATTTGTTATATCTCATTTTGGAAATTGATACATATATGTATAGATATATATTGATTTTGCATCTTTGTGATGGTTGGCTAGTCTATAGAACAATGCACAGTGATAAAGGAAAAGCCGTATGGAATTCGACCTTGATAGAGATTTTCATTAAGGAATGCTTGGAGCAAGTGTATAGGAAACAAAGGAAAGGAACTACTTTCAACAAAAATGGGTGGCAAGCAATAATTGAGGGGTTTGAGGCAAAAACAGGAAAAAGGTATGAGTGGAAGCAACTAAAAAATAAATTGGACAACATGAAGAAAGAGTGGAACATATAGTACAAATTATTTTCTAGTGAAACTGGCTTAGGATGGGACAGTGTCAAGAATACTGTTAATGCTCTGGACGAGTGGTGGGAGAGAAAAATCTTGGTATGGATAAGTTATTAAGTTTGTTTTTAGATTAAAATTGAATTTGAGAATCTTAATTGTTGGTTAGTTGAATGCTTGCAGGAAAATCCCCTTTATGAAAAATTTAGACATAAAGGGTTGATGTTTGTAAGGGAATTAACCTTGATATTTAGAGATGTCTTGGCAACTGGGGAGACACTATTTGTACCTTCTGCTACCTAGACCTAAATAGAGGAGGAGGAGGATGATGAGGATGTGTACTGCCCCCCATTGACCTTCAAGAAGGATCTGGTAATAGTGAAGAGAAGCTAAATTTATTAGACACTGCAGTACTTACAGGGGTCACTAATGAGTTGTTGGGCCTGAATGTTACCATAAATACTGGTGGAACTAGTGGTGACGGAAGTCAAGGCAAGAGAAAGAGGGTGGTAGGCATTGGTGGGAGGAAAAAGCAAAAAGTCCCTACCTCAATGAAAATAACAGATGTGATGAGTGAAATGGCAAAGGATAATGAAGCTAGAACAGAGACAGTGAATAAGATTTTGGTAAATGACATAGGAGTTTTTGAGGTTGTGGCTCACCTAAATGGACTCCCAAAAGTTTTTGGTGATAAAGATTTGCATTAGAGATGTGTCAATCTTATTTGTACAAGCCTATGTGAGATGCTTACTAGAACTTAAAGATCATCCTGATCACTTGGTCAATTGGTTGAAGCACCAAGTCTACCATCTACTGAATTTTATTTCAAAGAATACATCAGGATGAATTTTTATCTAGGCTTATGATGACTTGACTGGTGTTTATTTCAACTTAAAGACTACTTGTAGTTGCTTTTGGCTAACTTGTACTTCACTATGCTTATGATGACTTGACTGGTGTTTATTTTGACTTAAAGACTACTTGTAGTTGCTTTTTGGCTGACTTGTACTTCGTTATGCTTATAATGACTTGACTGGTGTTTATTTTGACTTAAAGACTACTTGTAGTTGCTTTTGGCTGGTTTGTAGTGAATATTTAACTCTTATCTAATGCTTAACTTATGCTTTATTTTTTATGTTGTTAAATGATATTTATATGCTATGTATTTTATATTATATACAAATGATATTTATATACTATTTTACCTCAGGTTGAAAATCATGGAAGATTCAAATGAATATATATTAGGTTGGAATGAAGGTTGGGATGTAGATGTGGCTTATCAACTACTTTCCTTGTTACAACAAGATATATCTGAGCAAGAAGAAATATGTCAATTAGTTGGTGAATATGTGATGCCATATGTGTGTAAAGAGCCACGAAGAACTAGCAGGAAAACAGGGCAAATGTGGGTCAATAAGATTTTTCAAGGTCATCCTAATCGTTGTTATGAAATGTTTCGAGTGGAAAAACATTTGTTTAGGCAATTGTGTGTGACACTAGTTGAGCTTGGTCTAAAGAAATCTAAAAAATGGGAGTTGAAGAAATGGTTGGAATGTTTTTGAATACAATTAGACATGGAGTTAGTAATAGGATGATATAGGAATGATTTCAACATTCAAGGGAAACTGTCCATAGAAATTTTCATAAAGTATTAGCTGCCTGCCTTAACCTTTCCAAGGCAAACATAAAGCCACTTGATCCTTTATTTCAACGATGTCATTCAAAAATTCAAAATGATCCATGATATTGGCCATTCCTTAAGGATGCTATAAGAGCAATTGATGACACTCATGTGCCATGTGTGGTTAGTATTGCTGATCAAATTAAATTTATCGGAAGAAAGGGATATGCAACACAGAATGTCATGGCTGTATGTGATTGGAACATGTGTTTTACTTTTGTCATTGTGGGATGGGAAGGTATGGCTCATGACGTCCGAGTATTTGATAATGCCATATCAACTCCTTCAACGCATTTTTCGCATCCATCTCCAGGTATATTTTATTAAAGTCACTATAATTATTATTGCATTAATTTAATGTTGGTCAAATTTACAACACTTCCTTTTATTTAATAGGTAAATATTATTTGGTTAATTCTGGTTATCTAACACTAAATGGGTATCTTGGTCCATATCGTTGCGAACGTTATCACCTTCTAGACTTCAGGTGAGTGTTAGGATTTGCAAACAATAATGAGGTCTTCAATTATTATCATTTAAGTTTGAGATGCACTATAGAAAGAACCTTTGGAGTATGGAAAAATAGGTTTGCAATTATACAAAAAATGCCTAAATTTAAATGTAAAATACAAGTTCAAATTGTTTGTGCAACAATGGCAGTACATAACTTTATTAAGATAAATTTAAGTACTGATAAGCAATTCATTCAAGCTGAAGATAAAATTGTAGATGTCCTTGAGGAAGATATCGATATTGGTGAGGCATCCTCATCAAATCTACCCGGATCATCAAGACAGATGCAGCATGTTTGTGATATAATTAGAGACCAGCTTGTAAATCATATCAATTGAACATTAATTTATTTTAAGTTTTTGTAATTAAATATTTAAGATATTTTTCTTATTAGTTGTGATTTTAAATTTAATATTTTTACTTATTAGTTAGTCTAAAAATACACTGGTACAAAATATAAAATTTATAAGGTACTTTTTACATTGGTTGGAAGGCAAACGGTGTAAAAAATAAAGGCGGTGGCATTTTTATAATTATGTTAAATTATTTGACACTTTTTACACCGGGTTCCTGTACACTCGGTGTAAAAAGCCTACTACTTTTTACACTGGGTGCCCCCACCGGGTGTAAAAAGTAGGCTTTCTACATCGGGTGTCCAGGCACCCAGTGTAAAAAGTGGGCTTTTTACACCAGCCCTAGGTGTCAAGGCACCCGGTGTAAAAAGTCTTTTTTAAAATTCTTCCTTCCTTCCTCCATTTTCATCAGTTCCCTCTCCTCCTTCTTGCGCCCTCCCCCTCATCTCCCCTTCGTTCGCCCAGCCCCCTCCCCCTCATCTTCTCCCACGTCGGCCCCCTCCCTCTGTCCGCCCAGCCCTCTCTCCCTCTCCCCCATCCATCGAGCCACCTCCCCCTCCCCCTCCTCCCCTCACTACCCACTCCCCTTCCCTCTCAGTCCGCCCAGCCCCCTCCCCTTCCCCCTCGTCCCGCTGCCCACTCCCCCTCCTCTTGTCCCGCCGCCCCCTCCCCCTCGGTTAACCAACCCCCTCCCTCTCCCCCTTGTCCCACCGCCCCCTTCCCCCTCCCCCTCATCCCCTCGCCGCCCACTCCCCCTCCCCGTTGTCCCCTTGCCCACCCCCTCCCTCAGCTACCCCCCTCTCCTTGTCCCTCCCTCTTGCCCCCCTCCACCACTCCTTCTCCCTCCCTTTTAATGTTGAGCTGTTGCTGTAGCTGCCACTACCCACGTATGTGTTGAATATAAATTTTTAAATTTTATAATGCTTAAATTTAGTTTTTAATGATATTGATTGTTGCTGGGAATGCCGTTAGTTGCTTCATAAGGCCTCAGGTTGTTGCATGTGATCATTTATTTAGATTAAAATTGTTAATTTTCTCGTGTAAAATTTTCTCAAACTTTTGGGAAGTCCAATTTTTAGGGGAGACTGTCAAAATTTTTTTGAATTCATTCTTCCCTTTCATTTGCTTAAATTTAGTTTTAATGATATTGATTGTTGCTGAGAGTGCTGTTAGTGGCTCCATAAGGCCTCGGGTTGTTGCATGTGATCATTTATTTGGTTTAAAATTATCAATTTTCTCCTGTAAATTTTTTTTAAACGTCTTAGGAGATCCAATTTTTATGGGAGATTCTACCGAAATTCTTTCAAATCTTAATTTAATTAGGAACTTAGTTTCTTGAAATAGTTTGAAGGTAATAACATTAGTTATATTCTTTAGGAGGTGACACATAGATCGTAGTTGGATGAATGCAAGACAAACGAGTGACGAGTATGATAATGCGGTGAAAGAAGTTTTCAAATTTGCTAATAAAAATGCTGTTGACAATAGTGAAAGGTTATATTGTCCTTGTGTTAATTGTTTAAATGAGAGGAGACTAAGTGTTGCTGAAATAAGAGAGCACTTAGTTTGTGACGGGATTTGCAAAAATTATACAATATGGATTTGGCATGGTGAACAATTGGAAAATTATAGCAACACATCTCAATGTGTGGGAGTTGATAATCTTGATGATGAAGTAGAAATGAATGAAAATCGATTAGAGGACATGATCCGTGATGTTGGGGAAGAGGCTTTTGAACGAGCACATGTGTATGATAACTTATGCACTGACCCAGAGAAGCTTCTATACCTGGGGTGCACTAATTTTAGTTTGTTATTCAGGGTGTTAAAACTAGTTACCTTAAAGGCAAGAGCTGGGTGGAGTGATCAAAGTTTCACATGGTTATTAGAGTTACTTCAAATAATGTTTCCAAAAGGTAATGCACTATCAAATCGTTATTATGATACCAAGAAGATCTTGTGTCAAATGGGTATGAAGTATAAAAAAATACACGCATGTCCTAATGATTGTGTGTTGTACAGAAAAGAGCTTGAAGTGGAGGAGAAGTGTATGAAATGTGAGGCACCACGGTACAAAGAGAAGGGGGCTCCTACAAAGGTCTTATGGTATCTTCCAATTATACCAAGGTTCAAGCGTTTGTTTGCAAATGCAAATGATACAAAGAACTTGATGTGGCATGCAAATGAGAGGATATCTGATAGAAAACTTTGATATCCAGTCGATTCTCCTCAATGGAAGAAAATTGATCAATTGTTTCCCAAATTTGGCAATCAGCCAAGGAACTTGAGGCTTGGACTTTCTATCGATGGAATGAATCCTTATGGTAGTCTTAGTAGTATACATAGTTCATGGCCTGTTCTTTTGGTGATTTACAATCTATCACCTAGGTTGTGCATGAAATGAAAGTACATGATGCTATCCATGTTGATTTCAGGACCAAAACAACCGGAAAATGATATTGATATTTACCTAAGACCTCTGATTGAAGATTTTAAAGTGTTGTGGGAGGTAGGTGTGGAAGTGTTTGATGCAAATCAAAAGGAGAATTTTAAGTTACGTGCTATGATCTTTTGTACTATAAATGATTTTCCTGCATATGAAAATTTTTCTGGTTACAGCGTGAAAGGTCATAAAGCTTGTCCAATTTGTGAAAAAAGCATAAACTACCATCAACTTCAACATGGAAAGAAGACAGTCTACCTTGGCCATCAGAGATTTCTTAGATGAGATCACCCATATCGTAGATTAAAGAAAGCTTTTCAAGGTCACCAAGAACACAATGATGCTCCGGATGCTTTGACTGAGGATCAAGTGTATTAACTTGTGAAAAACATTAATATTGTATTCAGTAAGACTAAAAAGAATACTAGTGCAACAAGCATATGGAAAAAAAGGTCTATCTTTTTTGACCTCCCATATTGGTGCAATCTTGAAGTAAGGTATTGTATTGATGTTATGCATGTGGAGAAAAACATGTGTGATAGTATTATTAGAACGCTTCTAAACATACCAAATAAGACTAAAGATGGTGTGAATGCAAGATTAGATTTGAAAGAAATGGGAATACGGGAAGACTTACACCCAAGACCAGAAGGTAAATGAACTTATTGTCCCTCAACCTCTCATACATTGTGCAAATCTGAGAAAACAAGTTTT